TGAGCGGGGGAATCGGGCCTAAAGTTCGTTGAACGTTTTCGTGTGGCTGTTGTTCCTGGGTTTTGTTTGGTGTTCTTATACTTCAAGTTGATGTTTGCCGCGTCTCAAGTTGGTAATTCCATTTGTGGCGGCTGCCGGCTGTCCGGTTCCAGGACAGCTGCATGAGGCAAGCAACACACACGCACACACATTTCGAGGAATTTATATGCAATTTCAAGGGCATTTGAATTTGGGTGAATTTGAATTTAATCAAATTAAATAAATAATAAATAAATAATAAATAATGATAAATAAATAATAAATAAATAATAATAATAAATAAATAGCTACAAATTCTGTTATCAATGGCGAATATTTTTGGGCTAAATAATATTCAAAAAAAGCTCCTCAGAACTGCTATATTTCTGTTTAAAGTATTATTGAATATAAGCACAGAAAATGGTACAATAATAAAAATTCTCCTTCGATCTCAGGGTTTATGTTTTGCTTTTTCGAGACTTCATCCAAGGGACGCAACTGCCTGTATATAAGTATATTTTAAAGCTTTAAAACAGCTTCCAAAACTAACTAAAAAATCAACAAACACTCGAAACAAATTTCTGACACACAAAATTCAGTTTAAAATACAAATTAAATCCATTGACTATATGGAAAATTTTGTTCGCCATTTACGAACAGTTTATCATTGTCATTGGATTACGCCATGGAAGTCTGCTCTCTGGCCCAAAAATAAAGCCATAATTTATAGGAATTATTTTGCAGGCAACTTTCTTTTTGTTTTGAACATCTTTTTGGCCATAATTTTCCATGTAGTTTTTGCTAGCTTAGAGCAGAAGACGCCGCCGCCTGTCCAGCTCAATCAAAGATGGGCAATCGGCAGGCAGCATGGGGCGGCGTCATCAAGCAGCAACAAAAAGCCACTTGGATTGGATTGGATCGCCGCAGATGGAGATTCGATGCAGCGACTCAAATTGGGGAAGTTGGACAAAACGACCACCAAAACGACGACGACGGCGACGACTACGACATGCAAATAATCTTCATATGTGTGTTGTGTGTCGCTTGGTTGAGCATTGTTAAGATCGGTATCTGCTGCAGAGGGGGCGCAGAAGTCGGTCTGAATAAAGCAGTCAGTTTGCGAGTTGGTAATACATTTCTCTTCAACTCCCTCGGCTGTGGCGCTGGGGCAACAATCTAGTTTGGCTGCACTTAATTTCAGCGCTTAACAGACAATTAAAATCCAATTAATTCTGACGTTTATTATGCTAAGCCGACTGTGGACAGAGGAGCCAGGCAGCCAGGCAGCCAGCCAGCCAGCCAGGCAGCTAGCTAGCTAGCCTTTCAGCCTTCGGACCGACAGTCTCCACATAAATTCAAACTCCCAGCCTCCCGTACCCAGTGCTACGAGTAGTAGTTCTTCTTCTTCTTCTTTTTCTAGTAGTTCTTCATGCCGCCGCCGCCGCAGCCACTGCCCCTCGTCTTGCGCTGTCTAAAAAACTTGCTCCTCTGCCTCATGTGAGCAGCAAGCAGCAGCAGCAAAAAAAGTTCCCTGTTGCACCGAGAAAAGTTTCCGCTTGCAGCCAGCCAGCCAGCCACATGTTGATTTGTACATGGGCTGAGGCATGAAAGAGTCCAATAAATCTTTCAATTTGGTATGCCAATTGGCAGGGATTACATTACAGAACAACAAAACAGGCTCAAACATACGTGCATCTTATTTTGATGTTGTTGAATGATTTTCTACAGGGTTTCGGCGCCCCAAAGTATGCTAGGAGCTGTCATCTTAATAAACTATACCCAAAAAACTCATCAACATTTATATAAAGTATCATAAAATATGTACCTGCGTCAGATACGGATGAGTGAGCATTTGCAGGCAGTCTAAAAAAGTGGCCGGCACGACCCCAAACCACAAGCGAAAGGCAGACAGGACACATTTCGGGCCTTTCGTTCCTTTTTGTTTTTTTTTTTTTGTTTTTTGGGGGGGTCGATATTCCCATACGCACACACACACACACCAATGCCAGACGGAAGGGCAAAACGAAAGTAAAGGAAAGCCAGCCAACAAAATAATTTGTACAAAAATAAAAGCAGCCGAAAAAGATACTCGTGGAGAGGTTCAAACAAAGGTTCAACGAACCCGAGAACCCGAACCCGACGAGTCGGCAGTAAACGTAAATAATTTGTGCGTATTTCCAGTGCTAGTATTGGTGCGTATCTGTGTGTGTGCGGCGGGGTCGTCTACGCATTGCCAGACAAAACAGCAAACACACAAAAAATGCAAACGAGGCGACAAACAAAAAACTTGTGGACAACAAATACCCACAGACATATGTATGGATTATAAATTCTACAAATAGGAAATTGAATTAAATCAAAATTAAACAAATCAAAACATGCTCTTCCATGTTTTACATGATAAAAGATAAAGATATATTTGTAAATTAAAAGACAATAAAAACATGTGTAGAAAGATAGGATAGATGGAAAAAAGAAAGAAAAGAAAACTAAGCTTGTGTTGCGCAGCCGGTAGGATTCGAACCTACGCTCCCAGAGGGAATCTGATTTCGAGTCAGACGCCTTAACCACTCGGCCACGACTGCTGCTTCGAGTTCCCATAGCCAGACTTTGTTCCACATTAGATCACAATTGTATGCCAAAAGATAATCAAATGAATTGATCATAAATGATTAAAATGCAGTTGCAATTTAACCATTGAAGCTAAGACTAAAAGACGAAGACTATGGGGTCAAAGGCACTTTCCCTACCCCCCACTTTTAAGGAATTTTACGAAAATAAGGGGTATATGATATATCTTTATGGACGGGCAAATAATTTATTTTATCTTTTATCTATACACATTTCAATAATATAAAATTCAAAAAATTATATTGTAACTATATTTATTTAATTTATTTTATTTTTATCTATACACATTTAAATAATATAAAACTCAAATAATTATATGTTAAACTTATTTATTAACTTGATTCCATACTACACATGAAACCATTTAAATGCGAAATAATAGAATATGTAATTTCTTCTCAATAATTTTATTATTAAGCAACATAAATAATAAATAACAAAAAAAGAATGGTATTTTGAAACACCGATGATTCGCAGCCGGTAGGATTCGAACCTACGCTCCCAGAGGGAATCTGATTTCGAGTCAGACGCCTTAACCACTCGGCCACGACTGCTTGCTGCGTTGCTGTGCCAGAAAAGATATAAAGCTCTTTAGCAGGCAACAGGCTGCAGCTAACTAATTCAATGCTTATCCTTGCCGTTGCCCTTAGGCCAAAAACAAATGTTCTTATACAAAAGAAAAAGAGGCCAAATAAATAAATAGGAATAAAGAGTTGAAAAAAAAAGTTACTTTATGTTCGACCGTGACAGGACTCGAACCTGCAATCTTCGGATCCGAAGTCCGACGCCTTATCCATTAGGCCACACGGTCAGTTGTTCTACGAGCGTTCCGTTTCAAATAAAACTCGCGCGGTGGTCGAGAACTGGGTATGAGAATGTGGTTCTGGCTTTAGCGTGGGATTACTATGACGAGTAGGTGCGATGGCTTAAGCAGAGGGTTGGATAAAAAAGAAAGTACCCAGCGGGGTGGAAAAACTAGTGCAGCTTCTTCCTCTTTGTTGAGATATTCATATATATACTTTTTGAATATATTTTAGCTACACTTCAGATCGACCCGACCCGCGCTGCGTCATCACATGAAATAGAGGGAGAGCGGGAGATATGGCAAGGGCAATGCCTCACAAACTGCTTGCCGCCCAGTGAATGGAAACGGCAGCGGCATGCGGCATGCGGGGTGGGGGGCCAGTTATTTACACCATTATTGTGTTAGGTCATGATTATTTTATCAAGAAGAAGCTGCAATAAAAACGCTGTTGGCTGTGGCCCATCCACACCCGCACTCGCCACCCCCAGCCAGAGCCAGGAGGCTGGCATCGTCGACGCTTCTTGGACCAATCTTTTTTTTTTTTTGGTTTCGTTGGAAGGGGTGAGGGGGGGGGGGGGGGCTACTCAAGTGTTTTACTTTTTTGGGTCTGCTTAAATATTACGAGTGTGTGTGTGTGTAACTTTTGGATCGATAATTTCTGTCTGCGCCAAACGCATTTACGGGCTTTCTACCATATGTACATATGTATGTATGTATATGTATGTGTAACGTATGTATGTGACTTTGTTTTCGGTTTTCTGTTTACTTATGGGCTGGATTAAATGTGGGAGACAACAAATTTTGGGCAACATACAACAAAATAAAAGAAAAGAAATGTATAAAAATACAAGAAATTACATAAATACATATGTACATATATAGGTACATATACCATAGGATATATAGTGTGGTTGCATTCTGAAGTTAGTGAGAATTTTCAATATCTAAATTATAATAACCTTTTTTTTTTGGTGCTAGAAAAACCATTTAAATTTTGACGCATTGGCCAAACTAAATGCCAGAGACAAAGCGAATTATAATAATAAAAGAAGAAAACATAGTTAAATATAATAAAGAGCCTTTTTAAGCGGAGAAGGAAGAAAGCCTGGCAACAGAATGCGTATCCGTGTGTAGAGCATGATAATCATGATGCCGATGATAATTATCATCTGCAATTATATTATATGTTATACATATATGTATGTGAGTGAGTGAGACAGACACACAGCGTTGTATGGCGAAAACAGTGCTGTAAAAGGTTCTGCCAGACAATACTTTACTTGAATAATATTTTCATGCGTTTATATTATATTATGTTAAAATCTTTTACTGGCTAAAATAATAAACGCTGCAAATTTTATGCAATAAACTTAAAGCGGCTTTGGAAAATACAAATCAAATGGCATTTTTTGATGCATTTTGCAACACTACAGGCGCAACCTTTCGCCCAAAACATGCCGTAGAATATTCCTATGTGCTACAATGCAAAAGATCACAGAGAAAGGCAAAATAAACTAATAGAAGAAGCCACTTAGTTGTGGTTAAATAATAACTGGAATAGGATAAAAATATATCGTGCCACAACGATACTAATCACTTGATAGGAAAAAAGCACTTACCATCACCATTGTGTGCCGGCTATCGGTTTTGTTCCCACACTAATGAGAAGAAACAAATGTCAGATCTGATTTGTCTCACGTAGCATTTCCAATGGCTAATGGCATTGAAAAGGGAACGGAAGACTTACGCGTAATTAAATCGGAGAAATTTGAAAGTGAACTAATGGATAATACGCCATTATCAGCGAAACGTTCGGGACGCACCAGTCCGAGTGTTACGCCGTACCTGTTGTGCGGCACAGCTCGTCGCCGCTCGTTGAGCGGCGAATCGAGCACGGACTCGTCCGATTCCAACCATACCTGGGATCACAAGCGAGGCGGCGTTAACAGCAAACGCTTGCACAAGGTGCGTGCCGCTGCCATGCGACGAGAGGTGCGGCGTTCACGCTCGTCCAGCTCCTCGTCCAACGCCAGCGAATCGCCATCCAACGAGAATGTGGCTGATGCCGTGCTGGTAAAGGGTATCAGTCCCGCCACAAAGCGCATTAAGGTCGCGCCTTTTGCCTCGAAATTGGGTCCATTAGAATCGGGCACCCCGAAGTCTGGCGCAGACACCAACAATAAGGGAGCCGCAGAGATTAAGCAGCTGAGTGTCATCAATCTGAATTTTGTCGGGAAGCCATCAGAGATCAATGGCAACTCACGTGCTGCCAACGAGCCGGCACGCCGAGTCCCTGGTAAGCCGAAATCCGCATTCGCTTCCAAGCAAACTCTGGCAGCCAAAGCGCAGAAGCAAAAGGAGAACTAGAGCGAGAGTGCCTCTAGTAAGTACACACCAATCCCAGACGCTTTCTTGTCCAATAATTTGATTGTTTTTGAATGCAGAAAGATGACACAGGCGACGAGAATGGGACATGCAAAAAGGCAACTGCGCGAGGGACTCTGCCCACACATCAATAATAAATTCTATTCTGGCATTTTAAATGCCACACATGAAACATATACCACAATCCTTACTCAAGCTGCCGTCGAAGTGGCATTAAGCTGTGTTCCTAATAAATTTAATCAAAAAAAATCTTGAAATGTAACAATAATACGCATAATATTAAAGCTATAAAACTGGTACAAATGTACGATTCCTTAGTACAGGCATAAAGCTGATGATCCGCCTCGAAAGTCTACTGGAAATGTTAGCCGAGGGACCCATTTATTTGTTCACAGTAAAAATGCATTGAAATACAAAATGTGCTGCATGGAAAATAAATATTTAATTGTGGTTGTATTTGTATTTGTATTTTTTGTTTTGCTTTGGTAATCAGCTGATGGCGCGACATGTTCATCGCTTGGCAGCACTTTTTTCTCACCAATGCGCGAGCGGAGCTACCAATATACCAATACGAAAAAGAGTTGTACAATTCACAAAATTTAATTAAAACAATGGAATAGCAAATTGCATAATAAAACTGCAGATCTCGAGCACGCTCGCCTTCCGCCCGTGAGGAACTTTGACGTCTCTCGGCCAAGCGGTTGAAGGTCCTCGTGCCCAACTTTGGCATTAGATTCAGCAGAAGCGGCCAATCTGATCGAAAGCTAATACTTAATTTAAGGGAAATAAATATATTTATTTTCTAAAGAAGTAACATTAATATCGGTGGCCAAAACGATATATTCAGAGCTTGGCAGCACTTGCCCTCGGCTGACACACGAATGACAATTGATTGTCATACCTCTGACTAGTGAAAATCTGGCACGACGTTCATTTCACAATTGAAAAAGTAGAAGGCAAGAAGTGCGTGTTCCAAAAATGTCTAAGGCTCCGCCCAGTTTCAGTGTTCAAAATATGGATCAGAACGTTGTGATTAAGGTTGATGTTGTGGCCGACTCAACGATCACAGTCACACTAAGTCCAACCAACGAGATACTTATAAAGGCGACCCCCCCCGAACAACCACCCGTTGTGATAGAACCAGAAGCTGTGCAGATGTCGCGCCGTGTCGCGAACATCCCACCACTGCCGCCACTCATTTCAATGAGTGATGTTACCCCGGCGATGGCTGCCCGTATTAACGCCAGGCATATGAGATTTGATTCATCAGCATGGGGTAGCCCGTACCCGGGTGCCCGTAGCCCGTATTCACGTCCTTACTTAACCTCAGAAATGGCTTTGAATCGAGCTGAAGAGATCAGGAATAGGCTGAGTGTCTTCTGTGAAAGGCTCACTGTAGGGATCGAGGGGCCCATCTACGACTCAAGCGATGACTCCGACCGCACACAGCCTAATCCTCCTCCTGAGTAAGAATTGAATTGGCTCGCGGACATGCTGGTGAGTGCACCCTAACCCCACTTTCTTGCCGCAATAATTTGGTTTTTTTTGTTGTTGTTGTACATGCAGAAAAATTAATGAGACACTTGCACACTACACACTACACACACACACACAAACACGACAGCACAGATTCACCCCGTCAGGGTGAAAAAAAAAAAGAAGAAAAGGTGCGTATGTTGCCCCATTAAATTGCTGGAACATTTTTGACCAATAATTTGATGCTTTTTAAAAACAGAAAGATGAAAATACCGAAGAAGAAATACACTTGCACACTACACACAAACACACACACACACACACAGGAAAGCGCGACTGCGCCAGAGGCTCTGCATTTAAAATGTCATTCGATGCCCTAAAACACTTACACACTAGAATATTAGCCCAAGTCAAGTCATCTCGTCAGCAGAATTAGCTCAAGGACAGGCTGGTGAGTACACTTAATCTAGTCGCTTGGTTGTTGCATAATTTGATTGTTTTTAAATACAGATATATGAATGAGACACTGGCACACACTACACAACCAAAACGCAGCACAGATTCTCCTTGTCAGGGGGCAAAAAGGAGAATTAGTTCGCGTACATTCTGGTGCGTATGTTGCCCCATTAAATTGCTGGAACATTATTGAACAATAATTTGCTTCTTTTTAAACACACAGAAGGAGGACAATAATGACGAAGAAATAGACTTGAACACTACACAAACACACACAGGAAAGCGCGACTGCGCCAGAGGCTCTGCATTTAAAATGTCATTCGATGCCCTAAAACACATTACACACTAGAATATTAGCACAAGTCGCCGTCGAAGTAATACAAAACGTTTTTCCAAATTTATTACATAAATTAAAACATTTGCTGTAATAGTTTATACAATTTTAAATTTGGAAAGCGATAAAAATGTATTAAAAAAAAATGTCCAGCCAAAGTTTCAGCGTTTTTGGATTTCGCTCTCTGTAATTATTTGTAGGTCCTTGGACTATCTTGGCTGTTGCTTCCAAAACTTGCTTTTCCACTTGGAGTTGGGGATGGCGAGCAAAGGTGTTAAATTCAGACAAACATCCATTAATCACGAACCCAAGGAATTAGTGAGGGGGCCACGGCCACGGCCACCCACTGTAGAAGCCACTGCTTTTTGAATTGTTTTGACCAGGAGAGATGGCATGGCAAAGGGGGTGGGGTGCCGGGTGCCCCAGGCATTGTTACCGTCCCATTTTCAAACCATCAATAATAACGCAATGTGGCTATGTGGCAATGGGCAATGTGCAACACAGGAGCTGACAGAATTAGTTGCAAAAATTTATTTATGACTCTTTGTTGGGTCGCCAGCGATTGGGCGGGCTGCTGCTTCTTGTTGTGTTTTTGTGGGCATTGTTACCAGCCAGCCAGCAACCCCCCCCTCCCCCTTTGCCATTGCCATTGAGCAGGCACTGCCTCTTGGGGCCCCGGCGGCTCACCTGTGCGCTGCTGATTTATGGCGCCCCCCGAATAGTGCTGCCAATAATTGGCCATAGACCAAGCCAGGCCCAAAAGAATAGACCCAAACTTTTGTCTCCATCTCGAATGCACTGAATGTTGATTTTTATACAAACCATGGGACATGGGTGGGCAGGGGCTGGCTCTTGAATGAAGTAAACCAAAAATTGTAGGTGCTTTCCCCTACCAGTACCATAGATCTAGCAGTAGTTATAATCAAGAAAATTAACTCTAGTCATTGGATGCCTTATAATGCTGTAGGAAATATAAATAAAATATATAAATGCAAGAAAATTAAATTATTACAATCAGAAATAATTCTTATTTATAATATAATAATAATAACTATAATATATAATAACTATAATATCTTTTGTATATATTTTTAGATATGCACTTACCCATAGTTTATATATTTTATAAAATGAAATTTAAAATTATTTCTGTTTTATGAAAACCCCAATGAAAATTGTAGACTAAAATTTTCAGCCTGAAGGCCTTGTAGCTCTGGCTTTAGACATAAAAATCGTATTTGAGGACTGGAATCGAAGGCTACAGTTCTGTAAATAAATAGGTAAAGGTAAATGAAGGTCTGTAAACTCATTGAAGGTAGGCCAAAACTAGTTGACAATTTTTAGGCGCTCAGTATTGAAATATTTGGCAATTAAATGTAGTTTCTTGAAAAGCAAAAAAACGAAAGATATTTTATTTATCTATTTTATTTATTTATTTATTATTATATTATATATTATGTCACTTTTTCCACACATCCAAGTCACTTTTTCAGCTTTGATTTTTGTTAACTCATAACTTTTTTATGTGATCTTTGTATTTGTTAATTGCAGGAATATTAATTGGTATTTATTCCATTAAGTTATTTATTTTACGGCAGCATTCAAATAAATCCAAGTAACGACGGGCTAAGCCCAAAGTCGTAATATCCGTCTATAATTTTCTCTAGTGAAATTTCTCTTATTGTGTGTTTTTCTTTTTGTACATACGTGCATATGTACATACATATGTACATATGTATATATCTTTGTATATGTTTTTTTGGGTTTGTCATGGCCATGGCAGAAATCTCATTAAGTTTTACATGCAACGAACAACTGACATGCAAACTGCATTCGCAGAGAGAGAGAGAACCCAGGGAAATGGCCAGGCCAAACATGAAGCAAGAGACCCGAAGACCCGCAGACCAGAAGAACAGAGGAACAGAGCAACTCGGTTGCCAAGTGCGTGGCAAAGGCAAAGGCAAAGGCACAGTGGCAAAGGCGAGGCTGATTAGCATATTACCATGTAATTAGATAGTTTGTAATTAATTTTAATTGTAGCCGGACTGTCTACTGCCCGGTGCAGCGCGCTCTTCGCACTTTCCCAAGCCCAACCATAAAAATGCTGGAAAAAAAAGAACGATGGGGCTTATCAATGGGTGGTGGGGAGTGGTGCGGGGTAGCATTGAAAACTTCACTGAAAATGTCTCAACTGTCAATGCATCAATCAATTGCCATAACAGAGTGTAGAAAATATTTCACTCAATGCCGCCGTCAGGTGCAATAAAAAAAAAAATGTTTCATATAAATTATGAATCACCAGGTACCACATATGTACATACATACATGTATGTATGTACCTTCTTCCGCTTCAATTGATCTCTGAATATTTGATGGAAACAGTCAAGTAAACAATACGGTAAATGTTGTGGTTTCTATTTGGCAGAGGGAAGGCAAGCCAAGGCAGGCAGCAAAAGAAGTTCCACAAGGTCCATGGGCTACTGCACTCCCTCTCTCTCTCTCTCACTCTCTTGGTCTTGCTCTGGGTACGTCCGTCCATTCGCACAAAACCGAAATAAATAATTGATGAAACAGCAAAGCGCACGTAGGGATTTCAGAGACCTCCCTCCAACAACTCCACAGTCAGCAGCCAGCAGCCAGCAGCAGCAGCAGCTCCAGTTGCTACTCGAACTCCCTTTTTGCTCCACACTCACACTCTCCCACTCCCTCGCCCTCTCCCACTCCCTTTCCCACCCTCTCTCGCTCCAAAGCTCCCTCTAAGCCCCACAATGCTCACTGTTTTTGCTGTTCCTCCAGCTACAGCTGTTTTTCAAAGCAAAAACCATCTCTCTGGCCTACGACGCATGATGTTGCCATGTGCACTCGCTATATATATATATATATATGGACTAGGAAAGGGTAGGGGGGGGATAGTGTATATATATATATATATAGGGGATATATATTCCTGTACGTGCGCACTTATCGATTTTCTGCTTGAAAAACGTTAAGCGAAATGCGCCCAAAGCGACGTACTCGGTTAAGTTTGGTCCGGCCGGGGCCAGGACTGGTGGTACTAGGAGTAGGACTAGGACCAGGCGCAGCCCCCCCACAAAAACCGCCATAACCCTACACACACACACAGCAACACATACATATATGCCACATACACCTCTGGACAAAGGGTTGCCAGGGCCACATTTGAAGGCGACTGCCGGCACCGCACCAACCCCACCAGCGCCCTGCAACCATCGTCAGAGTGTATGGGCTGGCTGGCTATGTGTGTGTGTGTGTGTGGGAGGCGGCAACAATAGGCGTGTTTCGTAGGCGGTCTTCCTTTTCGTCCACTTTTTGGTCCTCTCGTCATCGTCAAAGCCAAAAAGGAACCCAAAAAAAAATCAAGAAACAAAATTGGAAAAAAATATATAGAAAAGTTTGCTGATAAAAATAAACAACAAACAAAAACTTACCATATAAATCAACATCAAATAAGCGAACGCAATTAAAGCAAATCAGCGAAATTCTAAGGGTCGGAAATTAGTTTCAAAAACTATAAAAATAAAACGCACATAAATAATGTTGAAATCGAGAAGAAGAATATTTCTTTTTATTTTGTTTTGTATTTTATTAATTTTAATTTTTTTATTTAATCATTTGAATTTATTTGATCTTCTCATGCAGAAAAGAAAATAGAATGCAAATGGAATAAACTTTTGAAAGCCACTGAGAACTCAAAAAGAAAGACACTTAAACGATCCACGTATCTTGATTTAGGTCTAAATGTTTAAAGCAAGAAATTTCAGATATGGCCACAATTAAAGTCTAATCCCAAATGAACACCATACCCAATTGGACATCTGTACAGTGATGCGCTGTGCCATCAACAAATACAAATACCGATAAGCAAATGTGTGTGTTGTTAACTTAATTCCCGGCAAACTTTCCATAGGCCACACATCACAGCTGAATCGCATGGTGCAGGGACAGGAGCAGGGGCAGGAGCAGGAGCCGGGACAGGAGCAGGGACAGGAGCAGGGGCAGGAGCAGGGACAGGAGCAGGGACAGGAGCAGGGACAGGAGCAGGGACAGGAGCAGGGACAGGAGCAGGGACAGGAGCAAGGACAGGAACATGAGACAGCGCCATGACGAGTTGGACAGAAGGGCAAATACAGAGCGAGAGAGAAAGAGAGTTTGTGTCCAGCCAATGGATATATATATGTACATATGTGCCATATATACATACATATATCTTCACTATATTCACTATAGAAACAACCACATGCAACTCATACACAGTGCGTGTCAGCAGTGTAATGCTTAGACAGGATGTAAAGAACAAAAGTTACGAAAGCGAAACTCAAACTCAGCGAAAAGATGGCAAAGATCCAAACTTAAATTAAAGATTCAATTAAAAATTCAAACTTAAATTAAATATTCAACATATTAAAAATTAAAGGAATTCACTTTTATTAAAATGTAAATACAAAAAATATAAAAATAGTTGCTACAAATTTCCATTGGATATAAAACACTGTGAAATAAATATATAAAATATTAAATTGGTTGGAAATATATTTAATTTAAGTATGCAAATTTGTTGAAAATTTCCATATAAAATATATTTATATCCACTCTAGGAAATACCGGGTATTATCAGGTTTTTTGCTTGCTGGGTATACCAATCATTTCTGCAGCAGATTAATTCTCTGAAATGGTTACAATTCGAGTATATGCAAAAAAATAATAAATAAATAATAATAAAAATAATAATAAAATATAAATAAAAGTCCCAGAATAAATCCAAAATTGGTATTGCCATAAGAGCAAACTGAGCACCAGCCTACATAGCACCTCTTGGATCTTCAAATTTGTAAGCTAAGAAGTGAAGGTCATTTGGCAACTTTATATTTATATTTTATTTATTTATTTCTTTAAATTTATTTATATTATATATTACTTATATTATATTATTTATTTTATATTATTTATATTTTATTTATTTATTTATATTTATTATTGTTTATATTTTATTTATTAATTTACCTATATTTATTATTATTTATATTTTATTTATTTATATTTTCTATTTTATTTTGTATATTTTTAGCCCACGAATGCATGAGCAGCGAGATCTTTGGGC